TAATTTGGGTAACTGTACTTATAACCCCAAATAGGGTACTTATAACCTTACGTACTAAGTCCCATGATCCTCCAAGTCCAAGTAGGGCTTAGGGGCCCCGATGGGAACTTCTGACCCTACACGCTTTCACTCGCAACACCGGCCGCCCTCCCTGAGTTCTGGTGAAGCTGTCCATCCCAAACCCCTAGACACCTGCAGCCGGAAACCGCACCCCTTAAACCAAGCAACCCAAAGACCACAAACCCTAAACCCTAAGCCAATAGACACAAAGCCCCAAACCTTCCCCAGACATCTTGGAACTTGAGGAACGCTGCACACTTGTCGGCTGCGGGTTCGTCGCTGCTGCTGGGGCTGCGATTCAGTGTTGTGACTTTCGTGAGCGCCGCAATGTTCTGGAATTGTTTTTTGGGTTTATCAGGTTGTCTGGTTGTCTAGGGTGTCGTAATTGTTTGGAGATAAAATTGGTAATAGAGGCCCCCTATAGTCTATCTACAGTCAAAAGCTGTACTGTAACATACCCCCAAGCCCCGTACCCATGATTCAGATTCAGACGCCCGTGTTATTCGCTTCTGCGGCGTTGATGGGTAGGATTGAGTCATTGAGGGTTTAGGGTTTAGGGTTTACACGCTAAAATACCCGAAATCCGAACAAAGCTTGAAAACCCTAAACCCTAAACCCTAAAGAGAGTATGTGCAGAGCAAAAGCTCCCCCGAGCAGGACAGCTACCCTGAACCTCACGGCACTGCAGGGCATCCGCTTCGCTTGTTTGGGGACCTTGTTTGGGGACCTATGTAACGCCAAAACTCGAATGCCAAACCCGAGCCTTCGATCCTAAAACAGTGAACCAGGCTCGGCCTCTAACACGCCATGCTGACATGCTGTATCTCCCCAACGCCCTGAACCAGTCCTAGGACCTCAAACCTGACAGTCTAAAGCCCAAAGCACGAAACTGCCTCACCGCAGCATCAAGTCTCCAAGGCACAGCAAGCCCGCAAAGCTTTTGAAGTTCTGAAGAGGCTTAAACCCCAAAGCCTAAACCCCAGACCTTAGACTCTAAACCCCAAATCCCAAACCCTAAACCCCAAACCCCAAAGCTTAAACCCAAACCCTAAACCCGAAACCCCAAAGCTTAAACCCTACACCCGAAACTCCCAATCCCAAACCCTTAAGCCCCAAGCCCTAAAGCCTGAACCCTAAACCCCTAAACCCTGAACCCTAAACTCCCAAACCCCTGAACCCTAAACCCTAACCCCAAACCCTTAAGCTCGAAAGTCTTGGAACCTAGAGACTCCAATATCCCTTAATTAAGGAATACTCCTTAAATCTCCCTTATATGATTTAAGGTATATGCCTTAATTAAGGGATATTGGAGTCTCTGGAACTCTGAAGTTCCTTATAAAGTTACCCAATACCAAAAAGAGAGGCCTTTTTATTCTTAGGTTACTGGGTATCCTAGAACTGTGAAGGCTCCAGCTCTGCAAGCTGCTGAAGCTCAAGCCGCTGTGCCTGCTGCCCCTTCCGGGCGCCCCGAAGCCGCTGGGCCTCTGTTACCCTAAGGGTCCATGTACCCATATAGCATATACTTTGGGCCCAATGTACCTATATAGGGAGTACTTTTAGGCCAATGTATATGCTATTAGGGTACATGGACCCTTAGGGTTAGGTCTTTGGGGCTTTTGTGGTTCGAGGTTTAGGGTTTAGGGCTCTTTTAGGGTCTTTGGGGTTATAAGGTTTAGGGTTTAGGGCTCTTTTAGGTCTTGGAGGGTTTGGGGTTCAAGGTTTAGGTTTTAGGGCTTTTTTTGGGGCTTTGGGTTCTGGTACGACAGTAGAGCTCTAATACTCTACTATACTCTTCTCTACTCTGCTCTACTATACCATACGAATACGAATACGAATGCGATATGAGAGTACGCTATCCTATACTAACTTTTCAGGCCCCGTGTAGTGGTTCTTTGCTCATGGTCGGAGGTCCCTTCGAGTTCCTGAACCTTGAGGTAAAGAAACCTCGACACCGCTACCCAGAGAGCCCAATACCCCTTAATTACGGAATGTTCCCTAAATCATATTCGGGATCCTGCTCTATACATATGTATGTATATATATATATATATGCCTTCATTGAGGGATATTGGAGTCTCTGGGTACTCCTTAAACCTACCTTGAATTATAAAGGGCTTCATATCATGATGTAAGCTTCAATGAAGCGGTATTGGGCTCTCCTCGAACCCTAATATATTCAGGCCAGCGAAGTAGTTTTAGCTGATGGTCTTGGGGTTTTTGAGGTTTCGGGGATTCAGGCTTGTAGGGTTTAGGGGTTTGTTGCTGGAGGGCTTTGGAGTTGAGGGTTTAGGGTTGAGGCTTCGGGGAAAAGGGTTTAGTATTTAGGTTTATAGGAGAGCTGGGAGAGGCAGGTGTGGTGCTGGCTCAGGGCTGAAGAGGCCGTTTAGAAGAGCCGAGTTTCTTTGAACATGTCTGCTTTTAAGGCACATATACGAAGATGCCTGTGCCTTAAACCCAAGAAATAGCCTCAATAGTCAGAGTCCCCGAACGAGTTCAAAGCGTCAATCACAAACTTTTCCTCAACGCCTGAAGCTTTTTGGTTCTGAAGGTTGCTTGGAAAGGGGTGCTTTAAGGGTGCTACAGGGCTTTTGGTGTTTGGGGTGGGGGTTTCAGTGTTCAGGCCTTGAAGATCTGGGGTTTAGCTTGGGGTCTCAGGGTTCTTTGGGGCTCATGGGCTTTGGGGGTCCTGGGCTCAGGGTTTAGAGAGGGTTTCCATGCCAATGTGCACCTACTTCAGGAATCTCGTCAAGGGCGAGTATGGCTCCAAGAGTGCGTGGCAGGTGCCTTGTCTAAACCCTAAACCCCAAAGCGGGTCCCGCACAGCCGTCAGCTAGCAGTAAAGTAGGTAACCTGCAACCTTTTTGGAGAAGTTCAACCCGTAAATAGTCCCAAAGGTTAACCTTAATTTCCCTAAAACATAAAACCCTAAACCGTCAACCTTGTCTTTCCCCTAAACCCTAAACCCTAACCCCTTTGTTTCCCCCCCAAGCCGATGAAATCGAAGGCACCAAACTCAACCCCCTAAGGCCCTCAGGCCCCAGATCGAGTCCTCACAGAGCTGGGTGGTTCTCAAAATTAGGGTTTAGGGCTTAGGGCTTAGGGTTCAGGGTTTAGGGTTTAGGGCTTAGGGCTTAGGGCTTTGGGTTTAGGGTTTAGGGCTTAGGGTTTAGGGTTTAGGGCTTAGGGCTTAGGGTTTAGGGTTTAGGGTTTAGGGTCCTTCTTGTAGTACGGCACCTATAATGTTTAGCGTACCCAAAAATGGACCCTAATTTTGACAACCACCCAGCTGAGCTTTCACAGTCTTACAGCCCGGCATGCCCTGAAGCTAGTATCCCTACCTTATTGTGCTTCATTATCAGGCTTTTATATGGGACATCCGAATCCTTACTTTTGCTTATGTGCGTTTTCGGGGCCCTATGAAGCCTGAACCATCCAGAACACCTCCCGCCCAGAATACCGGAATTTAGGGTTTGGGGGTTTCGGGATGAGGGCTCAGGGGTTTGATTAGGGGTTTAGGGATTGAGGCTAAAATACACTATCCGATGACTCCTTGCTTCCATTGTCCGATATTGGCAAGTAGTCATGAAGCCACTTCTGTAGAGAATCGAACCCCATGAAGCCTCACACATAATGAACAAGTAGTATGTAGTATTAACCCCCTCGTCCGATATCCTGAATCCCAAGCTACCAGCCCTTTATCAAGTAGCGCCTTTCAACCCTAAACCCCTGAGTCCTGAACCCTACAATTTCTATATCCCGTATGCTTTCATCCTTACAGGAACCCTTACAGTAGGTAGTGGCGAGGTTCTCTTGCAGGTTCAGGACATTTCGGATGATTCCGGGGTTAAATTGGTGGATGAGCGGGATAATGACGTCGGTTCTATGGCGACCATGCCCAAGACACTTGAAAATACCGCTGCAGGATGTTTGACGCTGACGCGCCGTCGCAAGCTCTCATGCCTAGTGCGAGCATGCCCAAAGCGCTGGTATGTGCACCGTTTCGCCACTTTATCCAACCTACTGCAGAAAGATGTTTGGCATGTCTGGCATAAGACGCACTGTCACAAGCATTCATGCCTAGTGACAGTATGCGACGAGCATGCGCCAAAACACTTGTACTTACAGAGTTTGCCCCGTTGCACAACATAGTGCACAATGCTGTGCCTATGAAGAAGAAGATGATGATGATGATGATGACGGAGATGATGCTGTCCCCTACAAGCATGATAGCAGAGTGAGATCGTGCCCAACTCACCATGGTTTCCAGTACGCACTTCAAGCCTTTTTTATTCGCGCCAGCACCTCGGTTTCCTACACTTTCACAAGAATGCAAAGGGACATGGCGCGCCAGGCAGCCCCAAAGCCCTAAACCCTAGACCCTGTATCAGAGCCATTCAACCTTCAAAAGGGATGCCCTAAAAACTTGAAGCCCGTCAGACATGGAAGCTCTAATGCCCTGAGCCAGCGTTCAAGCAGGATGCCGATACCCGGGCCCAGCCCCCGAAGAACGTGCAGACCCAGCTTCTCGGTCTACATTCCCAGGGGGTGCCAAGCTCGGATGAGTCCGAAATAAGAGTCCGCAGATATGTTAGTATACAGAACTCTTACATCATTGTACAGAATAGTGTATATTGGTAGAGAACCGTATATGATGGTCAAAAATATCAATCCTACTCCGTTTCATCTGTTTCTGGGACAGCTGAAGAGCGAATGGGACTTTCGGGGTTTTAGGGTTACGGAGTGTTTGGACCATTGGAGGTTCAGGATTTGCAGGGTTGTAGGGGTGTTTCTGGTTGTGGGTTTAAGGGGGTTTTGGGCTTCGGCAAGAGCTGCAACCCCCAGACTCCACACTAAGACAACTTGGATTCTGAAAGTGTAAGCCACCGGGGTTTGGTTGGCTTCTGAAACTCATCAGTTGCTTCGCCTCCTCGGCCTGAGCCATGATTCCACTGTCCCGGCTCCTCGGGGCCGTGCTCCTGGTCCTGGCATGTTGTGGGCTCCTGGTTCTGCTCTCGGCCGGAAAGATGGAGCAGCCTGCAAGGCGGCTCTTCGACTCTCAGAGCCTAGAAGAAAGTGCACTTGCTGAGGCCAAGAGGGCCGTGGCCTTCCTCCCAGCTGTTCCGAATCTTGTCAAGCTGGTGACTCTGGCATGGCACTTGCTGATCGAAGCTTTGCTCTTCCTAGCCATCGGGATTGCGAGTGTACCGCTGTGCGCCTTTCTTTGGGGCGTGGTGCTTTCTTTGCTAGCGGCAGGACGCCGCTGTGGGCAGGAGTCATACAATAAAGTAGTTCTGGTTCTGAGTGGACTCTCAGCTCTTGTGGCTGCAGCGTTCGCATCGCCCTGGGCTGCAGCGAACACGAGCATGTCTTTGCTGAAGGACTGGAGACAGCTGCACTTGTTGGGCCGACCTGAGCACATACTTCCCCTGCATGCCGGGGGCCAGCTTAGCAAAAGCGAGCAGGAGCAGAGGTTTGACTACTATGTGTCATCGATCTTGGTGCTGATCTTGGCCTCCTATTTGCTTGGGGAGCTGCTGACGCGCCTTGGGAGGGAGGGCCGCAGGCTAGCCGCCTGGATGCGGTCCGCACTGCCGCCCAGCTTCACCCCACTGCCAGTCCACGGGCACCAAAACGAAGATAACGAACGTGGTCAGGGCTTCTGTTGGCACCGCGTTTTCTGGCATCTGGTCCTGCACATCTTCTGCGCCACCTTGGCATTGCGATCTTCAGCCACAGGTCGCCTGGATGCCCATGACGGTCTCTGCTGGGAGGTCTACGAGTTCTGGGTGCTGATTATGCTGCTGATCTACGTTCTCCAAGCCGTTGGCCTTGCGCTCTGCCTTCCCAGCGATTGTGAGGTGCCCTCACTGGGCTACCCAATCGTTCAGGCGGTGCTGCCGATCCTCGGGGAGCCCCTCGATGTGTTCAAAGACTGGCTCTTCATTGGGCTGGCGCTGGCCACGCAGTCGTACTTCGGCTACATTTTGGCAACCTTGGGCGTGCTGGTGCTCTTCATTTCCGGCGCCTACATGCAAGCCTTCCATTCGAATGACCTTCTGAAGCAGCTGTCGCCGGTGCAAGCCATCCTGCACCGGAAAGTGAGCTTTCTGGATGGGCAGACCTCGCCTGCCAAGCTTGCTGTGGCACTTACAGAAGACCTGCCCCAAGCATTGCTGCAGTCCGTTTTTGTCATCGTGTATGGTGGCTCCACGATGCAGTTTCTCTTCATCGGGGTCAGCTGCATAAAAATCATCGCCTGCCTTGTTCTTCGAGCAGCCGTGCTCAGGGACGAGCAGCGCCACGCGGAGGCATGGGAGGCCGGCCAGGGAAGAAAGCCGATGACACTGACTACCAGATCCATTGCATGATCAGAAACTGTGCCTTGAATCCAAATTGAAACTGCGCATCAGAAACCCGAGGCGCATCAGAAACTGCCGCACATCAGAAACAGAAATCACCCCGCGTCAGAAACTCGCATCAGAAACGAGCGTGTATGAGAAGTTGTGCATCAGAAACCAGCGCGCATCAGAAACCGGCACGCATCAGAAACTGGAGGCCCCTGTCAGAAACTGGAGTTTGGAAACTGGCGCCGGAGTTTGGAAGCAATGCCTGCAGCAATGCTGGGGTGGTGAGAAGAGAGCATGCAATGCCCTACCATGGTAACCCCAAAACCCTAAACCCTAAACCCTAACGGCATGCATTTTTAGAAGAGCCGGCCATGACGATTTCCGTGGTCTAATGCGCTCTGAGCCCAGAGCATCCTTGGCCCAACCAATGATAACGTCCGTGGTCTGATGCATTATGACAAGAGAGCATCCATGGGGGGTGAGGTGGGGCATGATAACGTCCATGGTCGAAAGCATTCGGAGCACAAATCATCCAGGGCCCAACTCTGATAATGTCCATGGTCTAATGTGTTCTGACAAGAGAGTCATGCACCAACCATGATAACGTCCATAGTCTGCTGCAATCCGACCAGAAAGCACCGGGGGGGGCAATGATAACGTCCGTGGTCTCATGCGTTCTGAGCACAGAGCATTCACGGCTCAACCATGATGACGTCCATGGTCTAATCCGTTCCGAGCCCAGAACACGCAGCAACATCCATGGTCTGATGCATTCTGACAAAAGAGCATCCAGGGGGTGCATGATAAAGCCCATGGTCTACATAAGGCGTTCTGAGCACGGAACATCCATGACCCAACCATGACAACGTGGCTCTATGACAAGAGAGCATCCACGGGGGGCTGAGGCGGGCATGATAACGTCCGTGGTCTGAAGCAATTTGAGCACACAGCATCCAGGGCCCAACCGTGATAACGTCCATGCGTTCTGAGAAGAGAGCATCCATGCACCAACCAGGATAACATCCATGCTCTAATGCGTTCTGAGAACCGAGCATCCATGGCCCGTCTATCGCGATCGGAGCACAAAAGCATCCATGGCAACCGTTCCCCAATCACCGCTTCTGGTTTCCGAAGGATGCTTTCGGATTCTGAATCAGCCGTGCCGGTTTCCCTGCTGGGTTCCAAATCATGGCATGGTTTCCGAATCAGCCGTCAGCCGTTCTTTTCCCGGAACCGTGGCTGGTTTCTGAATCATAGCTGCTGTTTTGGTTACCTCGTTCTGGTTGCCGATATTTCCGCCGTCCTACACTAGCAGACTCCGTACTCATGCAGGTTATAGATCCTGTAAACAAAGGGGGTGCATCGAAACCTCATTTTGGCAGTTTGGCTGAGTTTCGCTGGATGCAGGCTCAGGCCCGCTTCCTGAAGCTGCTGCTCGCCTTCTTCCAAGGCATCCTGAGCCAACAGCACTCGTGGGCGTTGGAAGTAAAAACGGACATGGCAATCACGCTCACGGAACTGGGCAGGTTTGAGGAGGCGCTGCAGATGGAACAAGAAGTCCTGGCTGCTCGGACTGAAGCGCTGGGAGCACGCCACCCAGACACGCTCAGCACTCAAGGAAACATGGCAGTAACTCTCAAGGAATTGGGCAGGTTCGAGGAAGCGCTGCAGATGGAACAAGAGGTCCTTGCTGCTCGGACTGAGGCTCTGGGAGCACGCCACCCAGACACGCGCAGCACGCAAGGAAACGTGGCAATCACTCTCACGGAACTGGGCAGGTTTGAGGAGGCGCTGCAGATGGAACAAGAGGTCCTGGCTGCTCGGATTGATTCTCTTGGAGCACGCCACCCGGACACGCTCTTGGCGCAAGGAAACATGGCAGATACTCTTAGGAGTCTGGGCAGGTTTGAGGAGGCACTTCAGATGGGACAAGAGGTCCTGGCTGCTCGGGCTGAAGCGCTGGGAGCACGCCACCCGGACACGCTCTTGGCGCAAGGAAACATAGCAGATACTCTTAGGAGTGTTGGCAGGTTTGAGGAGGCGCTTCAGATGGGACAAGAGGTCCTGGCTGCTCGGACTGAGGCTCTGGGAGCACGCCACCCGGACACGCTCAGCACGCAAGGAAACATGGCAGCCACTCTCAAGGAATTGGGCAGGTTCGAGGAAGCGCTGCAGATGGTACAAGAGGTCCTTGCTGCTCGGACTGAGGCTCTGGGAGCACGCCACCCAGACACGCTCTCGGCGCAAGGAAACATGGCAGATACTCTTAGGAGTTTGGGCAGGTTTGGGGAGGCGCTGCAGATGGGACAAGAGGTCCTGGCTGCTTGGACTGAGGCTCTGGGAGCACGCCACCCGGACACGCTCTTGGCGCGAGCAAATATGGCAGATACTCTCAGGAGTCTGGGCAGGTTTGAGGAGGCGCTGCAGATGGGACAAGAGGTCCTGGCTGCTCGGATTGATTCTCTTGGAGCACGCCACCCGGACACGCTCTTGGCGCAAGGAAACATGGCAGATACTCTTAGGAGTCTGGGCAGGTTTGAGGAGGCGTTGCAGATGGGACAAGAGGTCCTGGCTGCTCGGATTGATTCTCTTGGAGCACGCCACCCGGACACGCTCTTGGCGCAAGGAAACATGGCAGATACTCTTAGGAGTCTGGGCAGGTTTGAGGAGGCGCTTCAGATGGGACAAGAGGTCCTGGCTGCTCGGGCTGAAGCGCTGGGAGCACGCCACCCAGACACGCTCAGCACTCAAGGAAACATGGCAGTAACTCTCAGGGAATTGGGCAGGTTCGAGGAAGCGCTGCAGATGGTACAGGAGGTCCTTGCTGCTCGGACTGAGGCTTTGGGAGCACGCCACCCAGACACGCTCTCGACGCAAGGAAACATGGCAGATACTCTTAGGAGTTTGGGCAGGTTTGAGGAGGCGCTGCAGATAGGACAAGAGGTTCTGGCTGCGCAGACTGAGTTTTTGGGAGCTCGCCACCCGTCCACACTCTTTTCGCAAGGAAACATGGCAGAGGGCTTGCATGAATTAGGCAGGACCGAAGAGGCAATACGAGTTTGCCAGCAGGTCCTGGATGCCGAAGTAGACGTGCTGGGCCCGGGTCATCCCCAGACGCAGCGTAGCCAAAGCCGACTGGCTGAATTGGCTCATCTTGTGGAATGCCGAGAGCGGTCCGAGCCGGCGACACTCCTGAATCGACATCGCCGAGCCGGTCCAGCACCAGGAAGCGGTGGCAAGAAGAGCACAGGCCAGTGACTAGCGTAGCTACTACTCATTAAAGTCCTTCTTTACTTTCACTATAAGTGTACACCAGAACCCTGTTCAAATTAGTAAGGCCGCGACGTTAGTGGAGGAGCCCTAAGGTCTGTCAACATAATTTTTACAAAAAAGGAGACAATGGGAGTTTCTGTTGCTTGCCGGTGTGTGTGTGTGTGTGTGTGTGTGTCTGTGTGCACGTATGTGTGTGTGTGTGTGTGTGTGTGTGTGCATGTGTATGTGTAGGCGAAGGTGTGCGTGTACGTGTACGTGTACATGTGCGCGTGCGATCACGTGTACGCGTATTCGTGCGGGTATGTGTATGTGTATGTGTAGGTAGATGTATCTGTATGTGTATGGACATGTGTAGATTATGTATATGTATGTGTACGTCGATGTCTATGTGTACGTGTCTGTTTATGTGTATGTGTAGCCATATGTGTACGTGTGTTTGCCTGTGTTGTGTATGCGAATGTCTATGTGTGTCTGTGTTCTGGTACATGTACGTGTACATGGGAGCGTGTGTGTGTGTACACGTGCATGTGTATGTGTATGTGTACGTGTATGTGTTTTGGTGTAGGTTTAGGCATGGGTACCTGTGTACGTAGATGTGTTTGCATCCGCAGATGTGTTTGTATGTGTAAGGTTCTTGCATATGTATATGTTTATGCATTAGACTTTATACGTATATGCCTTGGCTTAGTGATATATACATTACATGCAAGTAATGCAGGGAGATACGTGTTTATGTCACCGCCGGCCATTAAAAGCATGGCACCTGCTATTGTGAGAATGCGTGTTTATGGTATCCTTGTACAGTACACGAATAGCAATCTTGTAGTAGCCCTAATTATAGTACACATCGGAACGGCATTGCGAGCAAGTTTTGAGAAGTAGGACTGTCGCAGCGACACGGGGCTTGCTGTTGGATCAACAACCCATATGGTTGTCCTGTGTGGCCTGTGTCTCGTTTCTTGATTCGTTGGAGGCTTAGTTTTACCAGTCCGAAGCCCAGGGGCGCCCAACACTCCTTCGTCTAGGAATATACCTCAAACCAACCTAATCCCACACTAGCTTAATTTAATGTATATTCGTTAAGTCAGGAGTATTGGGCTCTTTGGGTATCACTCCGAAAGCTGCGTTGACAGACTCTAGTGTTCTGCAGACGAGGAGAAAGGAGCCTCGCGGTGGCGTTCGCTTTGCACAAGTCAAAGCCCCCAACTTCCCTGAAGCCCTGACGGATTGGCTGCAGCGACGCCAACACTTTTTAATGATCGAGCAAGGCGAAGGACTTGCGGGGAATGATAAACAGCGCGAGTTTCTAACATGTCAGTGCCGCAAATGCTCATCCTGAGCACAGAGAAGATCGGGAAGGCTGGTGGGGGAGCGTTGAGGGTTTAGGCCTTACTTCAGTCCAGATTCCCTGAAGCCTCTCAGGCTTTAGCCCGACATGATTTGGAAGGTTCTGGCAGCCTGCTTCGCCGTTCCCTCAAGCTTCGGAGGTAACTATAGACCGAGGCCCCTGATATTGAAATAAGGGTCCTTGGCTCATTGCTGGCAGACTAGGTAGTGACTAGGTGTCGTGACATGAGTGAATGAACACTCTGAAGATGCTGAACCTAAACTGGGAGCAGCCACCAGAATCTGGAAGACTTTTGCCGGGATGCCAGATCCGTACAAGTCAGTCCAGCATTTGGTTGTCAGTACCTTAATGACCGCTGACAGGCATATTGTTATCTCAACTTCAGGCAATGTAGCAAGACATGCTCGCAACATTCATGAGAGAATGCTGGTGTTGTAGAGCACCGGGCTTTGAGCTCCGATCCGGATAACACTCATGAGAGAGTGCTGGTGTTGCAAGGCACCGGGAATTTGTGCCCGCAGCAAGATGCCTAGGTAGGCCTTTTTGGGGTTTCACCTTTTCCCTTATTGGGCTTAAGAGGATCGGAATTGGGAAATTTTTAAACGGATTTAGAGGACCAACCTAGACACTGTCGTGTTTCCTTCAGGCTAGCAGCCTGCGAAGTTTTCTGTTGTCTGGGCTAGCCCTCACGAGCTAAATCTAACAAACCGCAGTTCGTGAGCCCTACTCCCACCCCCTGACTCCAAACCTGAAGCCCCAAGCCCTGAACTCGAAGCCCAAGCAGAAGCCTAAATCCTAAAGCTGAAACCCGAAACCCTGGACCCAATTTCAACTAAGGTACGAGCGCATTAGCGAGTGGCTCCTGACCATGGGCGCCGAGGAGGTCGGGGGAGAGATGGCGACGGTTTGAGGGTTTTGGGTTTAGGATTTTGGGGGCTTAGGGTTTAGGGCTTTGGGTTTAGGGTTTTGGGTTTAGGGCTTAGGGTTTGGGGCTTTGGGTTTAGGGTTTAGGGCTTAGGGTTTAAGGTTTAGGGCTTAGGGTTTAAGGGTTTACGGTTTAGGGTTTAGGGCTTAGGGCATAGGGCTTAGGGTTCATTGCAGACTACGGATACATTCTGCTTTTTCTGCTCGTTGTGTCCGATTCGGGCGCAGCCTTTGGCGTGCACTTAATTAGAGTTCTACCGATACATACATACATATATATGGTACCCCCCCCATGTGCCCAGGCCCTTCTTCCAAATCCCAGTTTGTCCGTGGGATCCCCTTTGTCCCCAAGCCTTTCTGCTGAATACCAGGTTCGGGATGGCGTGGGAGTTTGAGATTGGGGGGAGTGCGTGCAGATTGTAGCTTTACTCTTTCATGTCTTTGGCGGGTTCCCTCCAAAACAGCCCCGAATCATCCGAATCATTTCCGAATCATTTTGATTCGGGCCCGGCGCTGGACCCAAGATCCAAGATCCAAGATTGCCCAGAGGTCTTGCGTGGGCAATCTTGGATCCGACCCTCACCCGAATCATCCGAATCATTTTGATTCGGGCCCGGGCCCCGATCCAAGATTCAAGATCCAAGATTTCCCAGGGGTCTTGCCAGGGAATCTTGGATCCGACGCTCACCCATTGGATCCAAGATTCCTTGGCAAGACCCCTGGGAAATCTTGGATCTTGAATCTTGGATCGGGGCCCGGGCCCGAATCAAAATGATTCGGAAATGATTCGGATGATTCGGGCGAGGGTCGGATCCAAGATTGCCCGCGCAAGACCTCTGTACAATCTTGGATCTTGGATCTTCGATCTGGGCCCGAATCAAAATGATTCGCAAATGATTCGGATGTTCCCATGCCTTTCTCCGAAATCTCAGCTGCAGAACGGCGTGGGTTACTGGGATCGGGGGAGTGCCTGAAGATCGTATGTTTCTTCCTTGCCTTTAAATATAAAAGTCTCGCCGCGAACCAAGACAGAGCGTATTCAAAACGTATTCTGTTGAATACGCTTCGGATCCAAGATTCAAGATTCAAGGTGCCAGGGAGAACTTTGCCCTGCATCTTGAATCTTAAATCTTGGATCCGAGGCGTATTCAACAGAATACGCTTTGAATACGTTTGGATACCGAACCTTGCGGTTTGACCCTTGCATTTTGTATTTCGAGCCTGCCGTTGTTCTGTGGATAGTCGTAGTTTTCTGCTCTGTAGATACGACAGATATAGATACTACAGATAGCGCGGTCATTGCAGAAACTAAACACCTGTACTGCTTTGCGAGGTAACATATCCACAATGCTTTGTAGGTTTTTGACTCTTTCAGAAAGCACTTACCTTATCATGCAGCTGTGATTGCCGTGTTTCATCCCGTCATTTCTGTTTTACTGTTTAGACATGTAGACTAGCACAGCAATTCAACAACTAGGAAAACTGAATTTCATCTTGATAGAATGATTAATACCCTTTTGACATGTGCAAAAATGTTGATGACATTTAGTCGGCCTAACCACTAGTTTGATAGTTTGACGGATTGGCCGGATTCAGTGGTTGGGCACACATATGACATATGTGCTCTTGCGATGTGGTTGTATATGCATATAAGTTGCTGCATAGTTGCGAACATGTTCATGAAATTAATCCTTTCATGCTGTACAAGACTAGGTATGAATCTCTGCCTGAATACGTTACTTTGAGAGGACCACTTCATTGATCGTCTTCGTCCGTTACCCTGTGCGGAACTGTACGTATCGTCTACTTTTATCTACGACTGAAGACTTTACTAAGCGAAATGTGGTGTTATATGGAAAATGTATTGGCTGCACTTACACTTTTCTAAAGGTACATGTATAACGTGTGTTGCTTCATGCTTGCAAGTGGGTGTCTCTAATTGGTGCACTTTTATTCTTGTACGTCCTTAACTGGTGCTTACAGTAAAGACACTGTCCAGTACAGTCACCACAAAACGCTGACATACAGGACTCGATAGTGGTTATCATGCATTAGGTGCGAAACTTGTAAACTTCTCCGTAAGAACAGACAAGCACCAGCTCGATAGGATGGACATGACCCAAACGATGCACAGGCTAAAGATTAACTAAGCTCAGAATAAACATGTAAAGCTTGCGGTTGATATCAATACAAGACAGCGAGAACAACGAACTTGTTTAATTAGTACCAATTATAGTATTGCTACCAAAGAGGAGTAGGATGGAGTAGAAAGTTCAGTACACAGCCAAAACATGTTGAATTATCTTCGGTCTTCGCCTTTTTCAGCTGGCTTCCAAGAACAAATATGTCAGCAGGATAAGCCATACTTCTATTGAGAGTGTTTGTGTATGTTGGCGAATCGTGCAAGCACAGGTGAAAATGTTCGAAAAGTAGTAGCCCGTAGGCTTATATTTTATCAAAATGTGAAAAAAAGTAGGCCTCAACAACTGACATAGGAAGACAGGGGGAAATCAAGAGTGTTAGCTGGGTTGGTATTGCTAAAGCAATCAGAACGGTGAGTATAACCATAGTAGTAAAGACACTGGTCACAAGAAGAGCATCATTGGTAAATGTAGCAGTGAAACTGAGTGTGCTGGCATAGAAGTCAATGTTAGTAGTGTACTTTGCATATGATTAGGAATAGTGGAGATTGGAAAGGTTTGCAGGGCTGCGG